TTCTGGAAAAACCTTTCATGCCATTGATTTTTAATTCTGTAAAAAACAGTAGTACCTGATTATCTCACTTGAGATAAATACAAAATAATTTAGTGTCCTTCATGAGCTTTAAAGGGTGGAGAGTTCTTAAGAAAATGGCTGCTCGAATTTAGGAAGAATTGAAGCAAAAACCAATGCTACATATTTACATAGTACTGCTTATATTATAAGTGTGTTGTAGTTCTGCACAAAATTATCTCAGTTGTTGGGAGAGTAACTTTTTTTCTTATTATTTTGTTTTTTTAAAATGACTGTGATATTAAAATCTGTTTTCTAGCTGTTAAGGAAGTTTACCGTACTTTGGGGGGCAGATTTTCAGGGAAGCAGCAGTGCAGTGTGTCATGCTACATAAGGCTCTCCAAGGGCACTGTATGTTGGCTTTTAAAGGAGAATATAATACATTACTGTTTTGAGAGGTATAAGCTGGTGAAAGATTACATGATCGGTTTCTTCCTTGTTTTCAAAGATTGTTTAAAGAGGACTGTCTTAGAAATGCCCCTCGACTGTGACATATCTGATAGCAGTTTTCCTTCAGTACAGCTAGCGTGAATTATTGTGGCTGCTGTAATCTGATGACTAAGGCAAATGCAAACCGAAAGGAGTGAGAGTGGTGAAGATTTTTGCCCTAAAACTTCCATGATCACAGCTTCTACGGTTACGTTCCTAGGTTAAAATTCTCCTGAATGATGATACGTTTTTGCAATTATGTCTTAAGTTCTCACAGACGGGTGTAGTAAATACCAAATCCTAGCAAATGCAAGGGAGCGGTGCACTGATTTACATGAATACTTGGGGTTATTTCTTGCTTTTTCTCTGTGTCCTGAGTGGTAATGTATAGAGTATCCATTCTTGGTGTCATGGAGCACTTTTTTTGTTTTAATCTTAATTTTCATTATGATCGTCCTAACTTTTCTATGTATTTCTGTTTTCAGACACATGCTACAACAGTAATGATTTGTAAAGTGTATTTTTTCCATACACAAGGAACCCATGTTGCTGAGCTAAGTAAAGAAAATGCAAGGGATCTTTTCTCACACCTTTGTGTGAGTTAAAATGAGCATAATTTGTATCATTCACCTGTCTATGAGAACGACGAATCATACATCAGTGAGTGAACGAAATTAAACAGGTGCAGACTTAGAAGCAGAAACTAATACGATGTTGGCAGACACACAGCTTCGTGTTGTAGTTATATGATGCTTCCCTGCTGCTACTGTATGATGTCAGTAAAATTAAATACTGAATGTGTTTTGTCACCATCTATTCTTGTTTGTTTAAGTAAAGTAAGAGCTTTCATAGAGCATAATTTTTAAAGTAAGTTTCTTTTGAAATCTAATGAGAAATGTTAAATGCATATCACTCTCATGTTCACAGGTTACTTCAATGAACACTTTTGTTTGAAGACAGGGCAGCGATCCACTGCTAGTAAATTCATGCTATGGCCTACGTTTGCTGTATAAGACCCTGATGAATAAATGTAATGCAGATGCAAAGAGAGTTGATATGATTCTTTTGAGTGTGACTGGATCATCTCCTACAGAAATAGACAGGAGGCTCAACACAGAGTGCTGCTAAGACTCAGTGAACTTAGTGTCCGGTTCTGGCCTGTGCTTTAAAACTAGAGAGGCTTCAGCCAATTTCTTGGATGCATAGTGTCTATGAAAACCTTAATCGCTTTGATCTACTTATGCAGGAAGGTTAAGAGAAGACCTGTTCACAGACAGGTGCCCAGAGGTGGACTTAAATTTTTCAGGACTTTAACCTAACATGACACTATCCCACAGGCAGGGGTGGAAGCCAAAGCAAGACAAAATGCATTACTCTTTAACAATGAGAGTACCTAGCATTGCTATGAGTTGTCTTAGTTCTCACTACCCCCCAAATGCTTGAGTTTGTATAATACAAGTAAAATTGTCTTAATTCTGAGCTACCATAGAGTGGTCTTGGACCTAAAGAACACAGGTTACCTCTGTGTGTGCTGAAATCCCATGGAAGGTACTGGACATGACTTCTGACTACACTTTTTTTTTTTCCTTCACCTCTCCTAATTCTATAAAGAATTATCATGTGAATTAAAGTAGTTACATTCTAATTGCTTTGGGAAGCAAAGCTTCCTTATGACTGTCTGGTTAACTGTAGAGATAATTTTTTTCTTTAGAGCATACAGTGGATGCATTCAAAGTTAACTTGCATTTTAGAGTACCTTTCTGCTTCAGTTTAATGCTACTTGCCTCACCCCACAAGAGAAGAGGTTAGGGAGGCATTTCAACTTGGAGGAAGCTGTTAAAAAATTTGGGGGTTTCTTATTAACCTTTTGAAACTGTAGTGATCTTCCAGGACTTGTTTGAAGAGTACTTCAACCATAAATCATGTTGTCTTGAGAGAGCTACTGGCCTGCCAGTATTGATGAATAAATGAGTATTGTTATGGTACGGTACCCTGCTCAACAATCTTTTGGTTAAAAAAAAAATGCTGAACAATATTTTGGTTAACTCTACTGGAATTTGATTATGGAACTGCTAACTTCATTCTGTATGCAAATAAAATAAAACTTTCTTGTGTATGGGAATATAATCTAAAGATTACTTTTATTTTCTAGATAGTGACATTGGGGATTTATATGAATAAATAAGATCGTTCTTCTAACCATTATTTATCAATAAAGCATTGCTAGTGGTGCCTGCTTTCCTGATGTGTGTAAGGCCCAGATTTTTCCTCGGGTCTTGCTTTCCCAAATCGATGGAAGAAAGCCGGGGTGCACTGGTACTAACCCCAGCAAAATTACTTCAGTCTCAGTGCTGTTCCTGCTACAGTCCTGCCTGCTCCTGAATGTGGTGTTTATTGGCAACCTCATCAGTTCCAGGACCTCTTCAACTGGAGATTTCAGAGTTTGGCTGAAAGCAAAAGAAGGGTTTCCTTCTGTCAAGTGCTGCTGCTGTTCAAAATTCTTGTTATTTAACCCCAGCTTTCCACAGATATTTTCAAGATCACGGGGAGCATGTGTCTTCAAAGGAAGAAACTGAGGTGGAAAAGTAGTCACAACAAGTGCTTGCTGTAGCTTGTTCACTTTCTTTTTTAAGAGCAGATGGGTATAGAAACTCGTTGTCTGCTGCTTTTTGGGCTGTGTTTTGTGTACTTGATCTGTTTGTTTGCTTTCAAAGCAATACTGTATATTCCCTTGATCCCTATTTCTGCTTTTCACTGCTTATCTGCTACACTGACAGCCAGACTTACAGACCTTTAACTCCACCATCCACTCCACTCACTACCAGGATTTGTGCTGTTTACACCTAACATTTTAAGGAGAATTAGCTTCTTTGTTTTCCAAAAGAAAGATTAAAGAACTCTGAGGACAAGGATGTAGAATTGCTTATAGATATAGATATATGTATATGCCTATGGAGATAATTAGATGTTCTAACAGAGTTGTGATGTGCAAGGATGACTGCGGATCCCTTTCTTCTTGGTGTCCCTCTTCCTCGTTCTCATGGTATGTGTTCACAGTCCATTTTCAATGTGTGGCCATGTCCTAGGGAGTGTGAATTCATCTAGAGATGCTAAGATGCCATGATCAAAAGAAAATTTTTTTTTCTCCATGGTAAGGCATAAAATCTCCCATCTTCTTTCTACTCAGGTGCTTATCCTTAATTTGTTCCTTCTATCTGGACTAGTGCTAGTGGTGACAGTGTGTATTTTAATATTTTGTCTAGGACTAAATTGTTCTCCATTTTGCTAAGTAAGAGCCCTTAAGGTAGTATGGGGCAAAGAGGAAGGCCGCTTCCTATATATGACAAATTTTCTGTGTGTTCTAAACACAAAAAAAGGAGTAATGTCTGGTGGGATTTGAGTGAGGCTTGACCAAGATCCTTAGCTCAAGGATCCGAAGTGATGCAGGAGTGGCAAATTACTGCTGCTGGGGACTGGTCTTGTTGTTGGTACACAGTCCTCAACTTAGGCAACTTGTCAATTCATGTCTCTTCAGGTCAACATAAGCTCTTCCCCCACTTAGCAGAGAGCAGCTTAATCGGAAATGTCCTGATGTTGCATCTGTGCATAGCTCATAAGCCCCACAAATTAAAGGTAGTGACCTATGTTGGGTTTGTAAGGAAGCCTGCTGCCCTGTCAAATGAGAGGGAAGTTGACAAACACATATCCTAACTGCTGAGACTTCTGTCTTCCCAATGGAGTGGGTGCATCTGCTAGGGACTTGAACAGTGCTTCAGTGCACAACATGCAGGGGGTGCTCAGAATAACAAGGTCAATCTTGCTGTTTAGATACTCCCCTGTTAGATTGGGTTTTATTTGTTTGTTGTAGTGTTTGATTTCTGACTTATGTCTGACTTGCATCAGCTCACAAGATCTGAGTCATTTTGTAGCTTTGTTCGCTGAATAAAAGAACTGTCCTGCCAAAGCTATCTTTGTATAGATGGCTGCAATCATATAACTTCTGTTAACCACCGTTTAGCCCTTATTTCCTTCATTGGATGTAAGAGCATAGAAAACGTCTTACCCCCTGCTTTTACATAGCAACTGTAAAAACTCAAATCTGGTTTACCTATTTTAATATATGACACACTGGTAAATTACAGAACATGTTTAGCAACTCTGATAACCTGATTTTGAATGCTCTCTGAGTTTTTGACAGTTTTCTAAATCAGATGTAATTTTAGTCAAGTCAGGAAGCTGGCTGTCTTGTTTCTCTGCTGAAAAGAGGTTCCGTTTGTGAAGATTATGAATGTTAGTTTTAAGTGACCGTCAGCTGATATAGCTCCCGTTCTTCCTTGTAAGGTTTTTATCATATTCCTACCTGTTGATTTTGTTTTTGGAGTGCCTGAATTTTCATAATTTGATTTAAATTGTTCATATGTCCTATTACAGCATGTAACATAAGACATAAATAAAAAAAATAAATCCACTAGTATGTTGTGATACATTGGACATGCTTCCTGCATCAGAAGTCAATGGATGATGTTGAGATCTGTTTGTTCAATTGGAAAAGCAGGTATGGTGGCAATATTATGCGTTTAGACTTCTGCATTAATAAGAACAAGAATAGTAATAAAAGTCTGAAGATTCATGGGCACTTTATTAGGGGCCAAATCTTGGAAATGTAAGGTGATGTCTGCTACAGATAGACACTCTCAAGGGGACAAATGTGTGCGTGCTTTTATGGTAATACTCTATGAAATAGAGTATACTCTATTTCTTTAGATTTTGTTTTGAAATGTATACATTTCTCTAAAGCCTCTTGGAACATCATTTCCCAGTGTTTCAGGCAAGTTGGAGTACCCATGGATTTTGAGTTAGGTTAGAATTTAAATGTCGCATCATTCTAGCTAGGAAATCACTGCTGTGTCAGATGAGCGTAAAAGTTCACATCATGGTGTGTGTTTGTTTTGGGTATTTTTTTAATTCAAATCACAAAAGGAAATTTAAAAAAATTGAAGGTCCGTGGGTGGCTCAAACACTTTTCCTTCAAATGCTGCCTCGCATATTGTCACAAATTCATTATTATCTGGGAACCTCTGACACACTGGGTAAATAGTTTAGAATTGAGTCCACACTTAAATGTTGCCTTTCACTAAGATCTAATTGTTTCGTGATGTGAATATTGAAAGGTTGATTTTTACTTTTTTTAAATAATTACTGAGATTATTTTCTAAGGAGGTAAATGTTTAAACAGAAATGTCACTGGTGTAGTATATTCATCTCCTCTGAAATAAATTTGACATATGGAATGGTTTTTTTAAATATTTGTGTGTGTGTGTGTATGCACACACACATATATGCGCCTTTGGCTTTTCTTTAGCAGGTTTTTCAAACTTGATGAAGTATCTTCCAAAAAATCATTCTTGGGCAATTTAACAGTGCAGTTCCCTGCAAATATCAATGTAGTATCTGGCTTGGAGACCTACTAAAGGTTCTGAAGTTTTTAACTTGCCTAGTGACTATAAAATGAATATTCTTTTGGGAGGGTGGGGGTGGTGTTCTGCAGTTCTTACCAGAGAGTGAAATTGTGAAGTTCCTTCTAGGACGTAGACTGTCCCAGGGAGCCTCTAATGTATTATGAGCAATCGCATTGTGAATGTTGCAGAGGGATGATTCAAATTATAGAAATGCAAGAAATGGGTAGATTAAGGCTCTACTTTTTGTATTATATCAAGCATTTATACCAACTGTTTATTGTAACGCACCTTAAACAGATCAATTAGGTGATTTAACTTCAGTATGTTCAAGCATTCATTTTTGAAATGGAAAACTCTGTATTCGTTCTCAGTTGTAAATCTTCTCATTTTTCTTTCAGATTGCTCTTTACATCAGTAGAAATGGACAGCAGCAGTTTCATTCAGTTTGATGTGCCCGAGTACAGCAACACTGTTCTGAGCCAGTTAAACGAACTCCGCTTGCAAGGAAAGCTATGTGACATAATTGTGCATATCCAGGGTCAGCCATTTCGAGCCCATAAAGCTGTCTTAGCTGCCAGTTCTCCGTATTTCCGTGATCATTCAGCATTAAGCACCATGAGTGGCTTATCAATATCAGTTATTAAAAATCCCAATGTTTTTGAACAGTTGCTTTCTTTTTGTTACACTGGAAGGATGTCCTTACAGCTGAAGGATGTTGTTAGTTTTCTAACTGCAGCTAGCTTTCTACAGATGCAGTGCGTCATTGATAAATGCACACAGATACTGGAGAGTATTCATTCAAAGATCAGTGTTGGTGATGTTGACTCTGTCACTGTTGGTGCTGAAGAAAATTCAGAAAATCGCAATGGAGTTAAAGACAGCAGCTACTTTGCCAATCCTATTGAGATATCTCCCCCCTATTGCTCTCAGGTGCGACAGTCAACAGCAGGCAGCGATCTTAGGATGGAAACTACTCCAGGCAAACCCCTACGTAGTCGTCTGCAAGAAGAAGGGCATTCAGATCGAGGAAGCAGTGGGAGTATCTCTGAATATGAGATTCAGATTGAAGGTGATCATGAGCAAGGAGATCTGATAGTAAGGGAAAGTCAGATTGCAGAGGTGAAAGTTAAAATGGAGAAGTCTGACAGGCCAAGCTGCTCTGATAGCTCTTCCCTTGGTGATGATGGATATCATACTGAAATGGTGGATGGAGAGCAAGTGGTGGCAGTAAATGTTGGTTCCTATGGGTCTGTCTTACAACATGTTTATTCGTTTACCCATGCCTCATCCCAGGCTACAGGTGTGTCTGAAACCTTTGGAAGCCTGAGCAATACGAGTCCTTCAAGGTCAATGCTGAGCTGTTTCAGAGGTGGTCGTGCGCGCCAAAAACGGGTATCCGCTGGTCACTTGCATAGTGATGTTCAGGGCTTGGTGCAAGGGGCTGACAGTGAATCCTTGGTGAGTAACCCAGGATATGAAAACAGTCCACGGGAAAGAAATACAAGAGGTCATTGGTATCCGTACAACGAGAGGCTAATTTGTATTTACTGTGGAAAGTCTTTCAACCAGAAAGGGAGCCTTGATCGACACATGCGATTGCACATGGGAATAACTCCTTTCGTGTGCAAGTTTTGTGGGAAGAAATATACCCGCAAGGACCAACTTGAGTATCATATTCGTGGTCACACAGATGACAAGCCCTTTCGCTGTGAGATCTGTGGAAAATGTTTTCCTTTCCAGGGTACACTAAACCAGCATTTGCGAAAAAATCACCCTGGGGTAACAGAAGTAAGAAACAGGGTAGAGTCTCCAGACAGAACAGAAGCTTTTGTGGAACAGAAAGGAGATAATGATGCTTCAGCTTCTGAAGCTATGGATTCTAGTATGGAAATTCATGCAATGTCTAACACATCTGATTAAAATACTACATTCTAAGTGCAACACAAACAAGCACATTGCTAATGTTTTGGGGTTTTTTTAAAATCTGTTATTCTTTTAGTAATCTTCAGTACAAGTATAACAGCCTTTTAATTTTCCTGACCTTCTGGAAATCAGTTTGGAATGGTTTCTGGAGAAGACTACATAAGTATTCTTTGTTTTTGAAGGAGGCTGGGTTGTTTGATTTTGTTTTTACTTTTGAAGATGCTCAAAATATAAAAGACAGTGTGCTGGGGAAGGGATAGGAAGAGTCTGCTAAAGTGTCGCTACTGGTTGATCTGGCAAGACGCCAGTTCCAGTGGAGAAAGATATTAGAGTAAGATTGGCAGCTCTGTGGGATACACCAAGAAGCTGTAATCTCCCTTATTTTATTCCTAAATCCTGTTGCTGGTAACGAGTTACACAGCAGTGGGGAGAGAGAGTATTAGAGCTTTGATTCCTTCTGTGTGTCACGATGAAATCTGTTTGCTTTTACTAACTGGTTTTGGTAGTTAGTCTGTTTATATATATAAATTTGCTTTATATATATAAAATGCTTTCACTTTTCCTATTCTGGTTGAGGTGAATGTAAAAAGTATGTCAAGGTTTATACTATGTACGACTTTCAACTGCTAGGTCTCCTCTCTGGTTAGGATCTAGGACTTCAGACTTTGGGAGGATGGTTTTGGTTTTAAAAGAATGTTGTTTGGTTTTCATTTTATTAAACTATTACTTTGTGTGCAAAAGTGAGCAAAGTGAACTACCTTGTTTTAACAGCTTTGCTTTATAACATATGTAAACCAAATGCCATAAATCTATTAAATTATGGTTAAATTGTTGAGGGGTTTTGTTAGTTGTCTAGAATGCAAGCTGGACAACCTGTGGTGCTGACCTTTTTATATATATAGAGATAGATATATCTATATATATTTAAAAAAAAAAAAAAAAAAAAAAAAAAAAAAAAAAAAGCAAACCTAAAAGTAGCATTGTGGTTTTAAATGTGTTTTTACTGGCCTCAGAATCTACCTTCATTTCGTACTGTAGAACCATACCAGGTAATTAAATTTAACTTCTTCACTCTTCACGGTTGGTTCAAACCTGAGAGAGATGCTGTAGTTTAAACTACAGTATTTCCAAGCAGTGTTTTAATAGGTCTCTTCACAGAGAGCTGTTTTCAGGTGCACATTGACTTCCTACTTAAAGCTCCAAGTGATACGTCAGCACTTGGAATTTGTACTTTTTTTGTATAAAAACAAATACTCTATGGGAATTTCGAGCAATATGTCTGTTATTTCATGTGTGAGTATTACAGAGTTGCTATGGCTTCCCTACTATTTTCAGTGGTTGTTTTCTGCATAAAGGAACTACCAACAACTTTAAAAATACTCTAAATCTTTTTGTTTCACCAAATGTTCTGTTTAATATGGTGCTAACTTCCTCATTTAGGTCAGTATAATATATAAAATGTGAAACCTAATGGTAACAGTTAAGCAAAAGAAAAAAAAAGAAAACCAACAAAAAAAAAACAAAACAAAACAACAAAAAAAAACACAAACAAAAAAACCCACCCCAAAGAAACCACAAAAAACCCCCACAAACACAATAGCTTAAGAGACCTCAAAAGCATGAACTGGCAAACACTACTGTGTAAAATTCTACCTGATTAACAGAATTAAATTAATCACATGCTTGATTAAAATACAGGTTTTATATAATTAGGCCTTATGTTTGTTTAGCAAATATTGAAAATACATCTGTGAACATGCTGTTTAACTCCTGAAATTTAGAAAATACAAGCTCATTCCTAAATTACGGGAAAGCAAAAAGGTAGGTTTGCTGTCTTGTAAAGCTTTTTTGGCTCCAGTGAAGATGGGGCATATTTGAGCAGTAGCTTTATTAAATACACTAGCTCTTAATGTTATGACAGTCTGCAATAAGAATTTCACTAAATACAGATTTACAGTATAAACCCCGCCTGCTCCATTGGAGCAGTTTCTGTTAAATTGAGTATGTAATTTGCCTCTTTGAACTAAAATTGCATAAATAAAGAGGCAGAGGGTGGGGAGACTTTTCTCTCCTTGAAGCAACAATAGAACTTTTGTTTCCAGTAAGGGAAAGTATATGTCTGTGTCTAGGGAAGGTAGTCTATATGTTTACCCACTGAAAAACATGTTGGTGTTTCTGATACTGTTTTTTTTCCTAAATGTTTGTTTCAAGTAACTAAATGCAAAAAAAAAAAAAAAAAAAAAAAAAAGTGTTTTGATAAATTAAGGTTGGGACATGCAGAATCCAAGAAATGTACAGTTATTCTTAACCCTTTATCTTGGAGCTGTGTTGTGGTGCCTTTCGTGTGACTTCTTCCATGGAAGTATGAGTTGAGGATAGCAGGATATGGGTACTAATTTTATATTTCTTGAATTTCTCTGTGTCACAATCTTAACATTATTTAAATCTAGTTCTTTGTATTTGTAAATGTGTTAAAATGGTTTGAGTTTACCAAAGAGTGACTTATCCAAAATTGTCTCTGACAAAAGCAAACAAAAAACCAACATCACTTTGATTGTACAGGTTCAGGTTCAAAATATTGCAACGGGACTGTTAAGGGGCAGGAAATGATCACTTTTTCTACAAAATCATGAGTCAGCAGTTTGCAAGTTCTACTTGCTCCTATTCGTGTGATAGGCCATTACCCTTTCCACTGCTAGCAGTGTTAATAATTATCAAGCCATAACACAGTACTGTAAAATTCAGCAGTGCTTCAAATGATGCGTATGTAGGTGAGCATCAAACATCATCGAGCATTACATTTACACTGACCAAGTGTGTGACTCTGGTAGAAAACGAACTTCAAACCTGGCAACAGCAATTAAATTGTGCCTTGTCACATAACGGTATGCCAGGATTAACATTGTCATGAAACGCAAAGCATTATCTGATTGAAGTTCATTTCACAAGTCCACCAAAACAGAGTATGCTGTGTTATTTTAAGCAAATTATGGAAGTACTGTACGGTGTCTTGTGTCTGTACAGTTTTAAGTTAGCACAGAGCTGTTACACATTTCATTTACAATAAATGCAGAAGTCAATAAAATATGTGAAGAAATATTTGACAGCAAAATAAATCATGAAATTATATAGGCTGGTTCATAATTGAGTCTCTTCTTAATCTACCTTTTTAATTATAGACAAATGTGAAAACAGTGACAGTGTCCTTTCCTCTGGATGTTTAACCTATTATGACAAACTGTGAAAATAAAGGATTTTATACCTTTGCTAATGTTTGTGGTTTTAAACAGTTATTTTAGTTTTCTTAATCAGTTATCTTCCATATTATTTCTTTTGAACTTGTAAATACATTTAGAGAATAGCCGTGTAAATACTTACAGTATATTAAGAGTTCAGTTCGGTCAATAGGGCCTCAAGATTGGCTCTGCTTTTTTAGTGTGAAACCTAAAGGATACTGTCAGTTCACTGTTCAGCAGAATATACTGTAGGCCTAAATTGATAGTTCTTAATGCAGTCTTCCCAAGCATAACTTCATGTGTTATGCTGAAGCCTTTAGTTTACTTTTAGACAAAACAATGAGGCCTCTTAATATGTTTAGGCTGAATTATGGGAAGAACAGCACGAGTAAAATCAAGGGCTGGGAAAAGATTGAATGAGCTTTACCTTTAAATATATATATATATATATATATATCTCTTATTTGATTTTTTTGTATTAGTTTACTGTGATTCTTTTATTGTCATTTTTCTAAACAGGTTTCACGTGAAACCATTGAAAGGGACTCAAATATGCAACACCTAATCTATTTTCCAAGGGAATTTTACCCTTGAATGGTGCTTTTTGACTGGTCAGGGTTATTTATTAAATTTTATATTTGAAAGTATTTGGGGAATTATGTAAATTCTTTATATGAATCTGTTTATTTCATGAATTGTAAATTTCATAATACTCAGTGATTGAATTGGAAGTTTAGTAAAGTCATTCAAAATGTTCAAAGTTTATAATCTGTGTGCATTTTACATATATTTTAACAAGTGCCAGAATAGTTGTATTTAATATTGTAGATTGAATACTACTTGCACGTCCCTGCGACAGCATTAACTTAAGTTACGCAAGTTTACATTTAAAAAAAAAAAAAAGCTAAACAAACAAGTAAGCCTGGGACGCGTGTTCCTGTATTTCTTCAGGGGATGTGAAGCTGAGTATCAGTAACGGAGCAGGTTTGCTTCTCCTTCGTGTAAGTGACTCCTGCTGCGGTGGCTGCAGCAAACTGCTGTCTCCCCCATCTACGTGTGTATGGATTCAGCCTTTGGGCTTGCATTGCGAGCCCCTGGCTGCCGATCTGATTAGAGGTAGAGCTCTTGCACGATTTTAACAGTGTTTGTTTCTGACTGAAAAAATAGTATTTTTAAATAACTTTTATTTGTATGGTTGTTTTTCATGATAAATAATTGAACAGTTTGAATGACTTGACTTGGTGTCATTATCTTGCAATATAAACCGGTAACCTCACAACTCCACACTTCATCACCATATGAAGTAAATGAAGCTAGCTAAGCTGATGCTGTAACGATTAATAACTTGCCATTAAGGATTATTTTATAGCATGAATTTTAAAATATTTATTCAAATGATATTTTACTCTTGTATTCACTTTGGTTTTAGATTTGTGACATGAATATTTCAGTGCTGCTTTATTTTGTTCTGATGAATTTGTTTCTTGCTTGTAAATTGCTTTTTTTATGGTATAAAGTCAATGGGAGTTGCTGTTTGTAAATTAAAATGCTTCTAGAGCAAATCTATGGTGTCAGTGTCTACGTTTCAATATTCAGTTACTAAGGGACTTGCATTTTAGATGCTTTTCCAAAAGCGTTATAAAAAGTTGCAGTTTAATACTCATTATCAACTAGGAATCAAAAATCTTCATAGAGGCGAACTACTCTTGAAGTTTCTCTTTTTTGCCCACATTGCTTGTTTAGTTCTGAACAGATGATCGTTCCAGTTTTGTGCTGCAAAACCTTGTCCGACTGTCAAAGCAAGGAAAAAACCCGGCCGGGTGGTGGCCGTCTGTCTCGCACCAAGCCAGAGGAAAGTCTGTTGGTTAGGGAAGTAATGTTTGATTTCCAGAGCAGCATTTGCATTTCGTGTTCTGCCGTAGGTAAGAGTAGAGCGAGCGCTGCTCCCAGCA